AAACGGAGAATGGTAGTATGAATCGTAAAAAGCCTGAACGCCATAGCCAAAATGCCACAAAAAACACGAAACTGCTGTCGTAAAAGAACGTATCTCAAGCTCATCACAAGTGTGAGTGTGAGTGTCAGGGTATCGGATGGCCACTGGATCCCGTTTCCGTCGACCCGTCGCCTTCAATCGTTTTGCGCCAATGTTCTGGCAGGCAGACGCATACCAACGGGAACGCCTTGATCTCGCCGCTGACGGGTGGTGATGTGTCGCGCGCGCGGGCTGATGTGCTGGACACGCCGCTGTCTCGCTGTGCTTGTCGTCGGGCGTCCCACTCGTCGGCGCGCTCGTCCATCATGACACCTGTCGCCCAGCCATCGTCCCAGATGCCCACCACTTTGAGCATGTCGCCCCGTTCCAGCGAGAACTCATCATTGGCTCGAGGTTGGTAGGCCCACAGCACGGCAACCCTATCGCCCGGGTGAATGTCGTCAGACGAGTAGTAGTCTTTGAAGAATGGCAGCTGCTCGGATTGCTGACTCGCCATGCCCTGGGGAGACGACATGCCGCCCGCACTAGTCGGGGACTGCGGGTCTTCGCCTGCCAGGACCGAGCTGCTTGATAAGGAACCGTGCCTCCGGGTAGGGGGCGGGCGCAGAACACCATTCCGGTGCGGCCATCGGAACCGGCTGCTGCCAAAGTCGGAGGATGAATTATCGTCTCTACCCTGCCATGTACCCAGCGCCGGCACCTGCCGCGGCCGCCAGGCCCGTGTGGCGTCCACCGCTCGGCGATGAGTCCGAAGTACCCTCGAGAGCCGACATGCGTGCGATGCGACCGCCGGGCAGAACGTCAAACCCAGGAGCAGCGGCGGGCACGCCCGTCTTCTCTGCCAAAGGACCTTGTCTTGAGGGCGAGGGCTGGTTGAAGACACTCCCATTATGGCTGTCGTTCCTTCTGCGGCGGCGTCGCAGGCAAACAATACAGAGGAAAATGAGACCTGCGATGAGGATGAGGCCCACAATAGAACCAATAACAATTCCAGCAATGGCACCGCCGGAGAGACCACCGCCGCTTCCGTTGTCATTACCGTCTTCCGATGGTGCCGAGGTACTGGTGGTGCTGGAAGTGGGCGAAGATGTCGGCGGCGTGAACGTCATGGAAGGGACCAGAGAGGGGAGGACAACATCGGCGCATCTGTTGTCGACATCCGAGTTATAACAGCAAGTATCCGTAGAGTTGATGCCACCGGATGCGCAGTAAGAGCAAAGTCCGATAGTGCTGTTGCCGTAACCGCAGTTGTTTGGTTCGTTGGCCACGCCTTGCACACAATTTGGCAGTGGAAAAGAGAGCCCAGGCGGGATGTAGCAGTTTGTAAAGTCGGCTCGGATGAGAGAGATCAAATCATTGCTTGGGTTGGGGCAGAGGTTTCGATCAGATGTGATCAGCGCTTCGCTTTGCGCGTAGAACGCCTAGAACTCGTCAGCACAAAAACTTTGTTGAACAGAGCCACAGCAATGGGCGCTTACGCAAGTGTCCGCACACAGTGGCGGCGCATCATCGCCCGCCAAGTTGCAGGCCTGAATGGAGTTTTGCACAATGGCATTGCAGATGACCGAGGTTGTGAAACGGGGGTACAGCTCATCGGTGCTTCTCAGGTCGATGTTGCCGCATCCAAAATTCTGGGCGAATCTGAGCAGGAGGGTTAGTTCTTTTGCCGTTTTTACGTGACTTTACTCGTCAGACTTACTTCTGCTGCACATAGGTCGTCCGGATGTAGGATCCCATTTGCTGATCGAAGGTCTCTCGACTGGAAACGAAGGGCAGGAAAGGGAAGATGTCTGCCACAAAGCCAGTCGTCGAGACAGAGGCGGACTGGAATGCCGGGCACATCTTGGAGCCTTGGAGTGAGACACATTGGCCGTTGCCTTGCGCAGAAACCACGAGGGGGGCGGATAGCAGAGACAGCAGGATTCCGGTGGTCGTCAGGTTGGACCGAGTGGCGTGGCTCGAACGCGAGCGTCTCGCCGAGGGAGCGGCGCCTCGAGAAACGGCCATGACGATGCGCGTCTTGGAGACAAGTGTGATTGTTGAATTATAGGAGCTGATGGTCCCAGAAATGTAGAAGGTAGGCGGTAGGCGTGATAGCTGGTAACCAAGAATTTCTCTGAAGACATAGGTTGGTCAATTTGATCGAGCGAAAAGTAGAGAGCGGGTTCGAAATCGAATCTGGTCAACTGCCGTCGTTCCAGTCCTGGCCTGCCAGCGACGGCCTCTAGCCAAGAGCCGGCGCGTGGAACGCGTGGCAGCCACGAGTGGCGAGCGGAGGGGGGGGTGGACGG